TTTTTTTTAAAAATTTAAATTTTTCCTTTGAAAAAAAAGGTTTTAAATTTTTTAAAAAAAAGTTTTTTTTAAATTTTTTTTAAAAAATTTTTAAAAAACCCCCCAAAATTTTTTTTTCCCTTTTTTTTTTAAAATTTTAAAAAATTAAATTTTTTTAAAGGTTTTTTCCTTTTTTTAAAAATTTTTTTTTTTTTAAAAAAACCTTTTTTATGGATAATTGATAATCTTGTAAATGCCATTATGATGGTGTTCTTATAGCTGGAAAGCTTTATTCTTGCTCGGTGAAGCAATGTTACACATCTTTTTATAAACGGACTCTGCGAGGTCAAACATACACAATATATATATCTTACTTATAATTCAGAGAATTCCCTTTGTTTGCACGACCGCCCACGTGCAAATAATATGAGAAATAGGAAGTTGCATAGTAACCATGGTAATGGTGTTGAAACGCGCACATGCACGTGCAAAGATTTGCGAGCGACATTTTGATCGGTTTTGTGGTAATTACGTTTGGTCCAGTGCGAGCTTTATTTTAATTGGCTGTATCTTCAGTTGTGACAGTATCTACGTTGGGTCTTATACCACCGCCGTGTTTTATATTTGAGAGTTGTTGCTTTACAGATGGCATACTGTAGTCTGTACCTACTTGTTCGAGGATTTCGTCACCAAAATTTGAAAATTCGATTTTTGGGGGCCACACCCTATCATTTTGCATTTGCGGACGGTTATTCAAATCAATATAATTTCCTTTTGTTTGGGAAAGAGAGACACTGGCAGCGGTCCACTCTACCCATAATTATGGGTTTTGGTCAAATATATCATAGGTACGTTTTCTTGTATGAAATAAAAATCACATACGTACTAATTCTTATTCCTTTGTTTTAATGCTCATTTTGCATTTCAAACTTGCGGCGCCTACACAGTGGTTGCTACAGTAACCACACTTTCCATGTTGCATTTCCAATATAACTGATCGGGACACAGCCTTATTGTTAGGTCTGACTAATCATCTTTGTTATAATTATACAGCCTATGCTAAGTTAAGTATGTTGTTAAGCCTAAGTTGTTAAGCCTAAGTTAAGTATGTTGTTAAGCCTAAGTTGTTAAGCCTAAGTTAAGTATGTTGTTAAGCCTAAGTTGTTAAGCCTAAGTTGTTAAGCCTAAGTTAAGTATGTTGTTAAGCCTAAGTTGTTAAGCCTAAGTTGTTAAGCCTAAGTTGTTAAGCCTAAGTTAAGTATGTTGTTAAGCCTAAGTTGTTAAGCCTAAGTTGTTAAGCCTAAGTTAAGTATGTTGTTAAGCCTAAGTTGTTAAGCCTAAGTTGTTAAGCCTAAGTTGTTAAGCCTAAGTTAAGTACGTTAAGCCTACTTTATCGATATTGTAATGCCAGCAGCTGCCTCACCAGCTGTAGTTAACACGGTACAGCATTATATTAGTTATCACAGTATACACAGTGTATACAGTTCATTCCTCAACCTTTAACAAGTTGAGCTACATAATGAGGACTTGAGGAGTACATTCCACTGTTATCATCTCAGTAGGCGGAGATTATATTATATTATTATTATGTATTAGTGGTCCCTCATAGATAGCAGTTAATCGCTAATAAAGAACAACAGGTGCGTGTTGATCTGTATACAAATCAATTACTGCCTCTCTCGTTTCCTAATTCTCAGTTATATTATTATTATTGAGCTCTCTCTCAGTTATTGAACTCTCTCGTTGTTTGATGCTGCGTTTCCCTTTTCGCGCGCAAAGCCCGCGCCAGCCAGCCAGGGTGTTCAAAACTAAAAGGGACATGCATTATGCAAGAGCTATACTATACTAGAGTAACACGTGTAACTAAACTTGTTGTTAAATTCTCAGTTATTGAGCACGGCTATTGTAACCATGGTTACAAGGCCGGCCCGGATAAAAGCTAGTGAACGTGTTAGGAGCTATTTTATTTTATTGTTATTTGCTATAGAAATATACGCCTCTCCGCCAGAACCCACATCTATTGTATATTGATGAGGTCTGATTGTCATCTTCTTACAGTGTTCTAAAGTCCTATTTCCTTAGTATTGCTGTACAAATACCACAGAATCCACAAAATCCACAGAATCCACAGAATCCACAGAATCCACAGAATCCACATCTATTGTATTCTGTATATTACGTGGCCTTGTTGTCTTCTCTCTCAGCAGGTGTGTCCGATTCTGAGTTGTAGTAGTTGTTATAACACAGTGCTATACAGTACACTGTTATACACTGTATACACTATACATGGTTATGCACTGTATACACTATACATGGTTATGCACTGTATACACTATACATGGTATTAACTACTACTACTACTACTTTAGTTTAGTTATGCTTTTGGCCCCATGTAGACGGGGATATTGTAATACCTTTTAACAGTAATATTACAGTAGACTTATGTAACCCCGGTAACCCCGGTAACCCCGGTAACCCCGGTAACCCCGGTAACCCCGGTAACCCCGGTTTGGTGTGGTATAATTTAAATGTGGTACTAGTTCGACACGCTCTGTAGTTTCTAATAAATACCGGAATACCCTTGATTTGGATCATTTACCGATACGATATAGGGTATTGTAAACAAACAAAGATTGATGTAGTCATGTGCTTGTGGAAACCTCGAGGCGACCCGTTAATTACGTTTATGTAAGCTTGTTTTCATAAATTACGTCACTCTTAACAATCTATCTTAAAGCGCTACACTCTATCTTAAAGCGCTACACTAAATCTTAAAGCGCTACACTCAATCTATCTTAAAGCGCTACCTACACTATCTTAAACTCAATGCGCTACATTCTATCTTAATGCGCTACACTCAATCTTAGCACTCAATCTTACAGCGATACACTCAATCTTAAAGCGCTACACTCAATCTTAAAGCGCTACACTCAATCTTAAAGCGCTACACTCAATCTTAAAGCGCTACACTCAATCTTAAAGCGCTACACTCTATCTTAAAGCGCTACACTCAATCTTAAAGCGCTACACTCAATCTTAAAGCGCTACACTCAATCTTAAAGCGCTACACTCAATCTTAAAGCGCTACACTCGATCCTAAAGTGCTACACTCAATCTTAATGCACTACACTCAATCTTAAAGCGCTACACCCAATCTTAAAGCGGTACACTCAATCTTAAAGCGCTACACTCGATCCTAAAGCGCTACACTCTATCTTACAGCGCTACACTCAATCTTACAGCGCTACACTCAATCTTAAAGCGCTACACTCAATCTTAATGCGCTACACTCAATCTTAAAGCGCTACACTCAATCTTACAGCGCTACACCCAATCTTAAAGCGCTACACTCAATCTTACAGCGCTACACTCAATCTTAAAGCGGTACACTCAATCTTAAAGCGCTACACTCGATCTTAAAGCGCTACACTCGATCTTAAAGCGCTACACTCTATCTTACAGCGCTACACTCAATCTTAAAGCGCTACACTCAATCTTAAAGCGCTACACTCAATCTTAAAGCGCTACACTCAATCTTAAAGCGCTACACTCAATCTTACAGCGCTACACTCAATCTTACAGCGCTACACTCAATCCTAAAGCGCTACACTCTATCTTACAGCGCTACACTCTATCTTAAAGGGCTACACTCAATCTTAAAGCGCTACTCTCTATCTTACAGCGCTACACTCTATCTTAAAGGGCTACACTCAATCTTAAAGCGCTACTCTCTATCTTACAGCGCTACACTCTATCTTAAAGCGCTACACTCAATCTTACAGCGCTACACTCAATCTTAAAGCGGTACACTCAATCTTAATGCGCTACACTCTATCTTAAAGCGCTACACTCAATCTTAAAGCGCTACTCTCTATCTTACAGCGCTACACTCTATCTTAAAGCGCTACACTCAATCTTAAAGCGCCACACTTAATCTTACAGCGCTACCGTGTTCCCTTCATGGCGCGTAACCCTTTGTTTTATTCTCTTGTTATAATATCTTTACATTGTGTGAACCTCAGTACTCGGTTTGAAGCGTGTTGTTAGGCGTGTTGTTAGGCGTGTTGTTAGGCGTGTTGTTAGGCGTGTTGTTAGGCGTGTTGTTAGGCGTGTTGTTAGGCGTGTTGTTAGGCGTGTTGTTAGGCGTGTTGTTAGGCGTGTTGTTAGGCGTGTTGGTAGGCGTGTTGCTAGGCGTGTTGTGAGGCGTGTTGTTAGGCGTGTTGTTAGGCGTGTTGTGAGGCGTGTTGTTAGCTTGCGCAACCAGCTGCTCACTCTCATTGTGTTCCAGTTAGTGCAGAACAATAAAATCTTTATTAATCTGTGTTTTGAGTTTTGACATTTCATCTTCAAGCTGGCTGGTTTTGTTTCGATCTATTGATACAGCTTGTGGCGTCAGGTCGTCTTTCAAGTTGTATTGTGGTTTCACTCCATTATAAAATCATAGGTGAAAATAACGTTGAAAGTTTGGCTCTTTACATTCCCCAGATTTTTCTTACCGTCGCTTTTCTTTCATGAATCTATCTGCACTCGGCAGGCGAAGAATAGAGATCAATTAAAAGAACGATTCAAACAATATGAGTTTTGATGCATATATAAAGGCCTGCCAGCAGCTTCTGCGAAATAAGTGTGGTTCCAGAAAGGCATGTAGATTGTGGGCCCTTGGGAAATTTTCGGGAAATTTGCTTTCAGGATTGAAATCTAGCAATACGAGAATTTGTGAAATTTTGGTTACGTCGACGATTATTTCCTGATCTCTTAAATACTGCATGATACCAAGAGACATGAAACATGAAACTGACAAGCTACTTAACTCTTGTCGAGAAAGTCGAGACAAGCTCCATGTTCAAACAGTGCGGAGGGGGGGGGGGGGGGGGGGGGAGGGGGGGGGATGAGACAATCCCCATGACCCTCAACTCCTCATCATCTGAACGGCAACTTCCGTACAAATGAACAAATATTTATTGCGACATAGTTATATATAAGCGTTTGCAATGAAGGTTTAACGATCCTTCTGATCAGGAATGGGTTACAACTTCAGAGCACCTGGTATACTAGAGAGACTGTTCCAAGTGAAGTTAGACACAGGAGGAAAGACAGAGCTCAAGAGATGTCTGACTCTGTTCCCACTTATTGTTCAGGGCATTGCCCACATGCTTGGAGCAGGTACTTACCACTTACTTAAACAGGAAGTGATATGTAAATAAATAAAAGGTGATCCGTGAAATGTAAAATAAATGTTTCCTGCTCATGAACAAGGTGTTGCTAGGTTACTGAGTTACTAGGTTACTAAAGGTGTTGCTCAATTGAGTGATTCAAATCATTTTGCAGGGATATTTGTGATAACCCCGGCGATTGTGCAGTCAATGGCAGGACCTGCCACGTGTATCAGCTATCTGATATCCGGTCTAGCTGCTGCCTTGTCCGTGTTATGCTACAGTGATCTTGCTGCCAGGTAAGCGTTTGAAGAAACAACAACTCAGATCTTACATTTAACTTGAAATTATAATGAAATCGGCGAAACTTTTTATCATATGCTAGTACAGTATATTTATCTATTATATTCTGTCCCATTCTGTACTATATTTTAAACTTGACTAAAGCTGTTCGAGCAGGTCACATGACTCCTCACAATATTTTAACATCAGGTACTCCTGCATGTGCACTGGGTCCTCCTACGTTTATACTTACTTCTTCATACTTTCATAGTTACTAGGTTACTAGGTTACTAGGTTACTAGGTTACTAGGTTACTAGGTTACTAAGTTACTAGGTTACTGAGTAACTAGGTTACTAGGTCACATGACTCCTCACAATATTTTAACATCAGGTACTCCTGCACTGGGTCCTCCTACGTTTATACTTACTTCTTCATAGTTACTAGGTTACTAGGTTACTGAGTTACTAGGTTACTAAGTTACTAGGTTACTAAATACTAGGTTACTAGGTTGCTAAGTTACTAGGTTACTAAATACTAGGTTACTAGGTTGCTAAGTTACTAGGTTACTAGGTTACTAGGTCACATGACTCCTCACAATATTTTAACATCAGGTACTCCTGCATGTGTACTGGTTCCTCATACGTTTATACTTACTTCTTCATAGTTACTAGGTTACTAGGTTACTGAGTTACTAGGTTACTAAGTTACTAGGTTACTAAATACTAGGTTACTAGGTTGCTAAGTTACCAGGTTACTAGGTCACATGAATCCTCACAATATTTTAACATCAGGTACTCCTGCACTGGTTCCTCCTACGTTTACACTTACTTCTCAATGGGAGAACTCGCAGCTGCCATCTCCGGTTTCTTCCTGATCGGAGAGCTGATCATTCAGGCCCCAATGTTAACCCTGGGACTGTCTGACAACATCGACAAGTTCCTCATTAATGGGACTGTCCAAGAATGGCAGAGCTCAAACTTTCCTGACTGGTTGCTACACACAGATCTGATCGCTATTGGTATCATGCTCCTCTTCATGGCTATCAACATGGCAGGAATAAAGACAGTGTCCTATCTCAACATTGCCATAGCTGGGGTCTCTGCGATATCTCTGCTAACCTTCAACATAGTGGCGCTGGTGAACGGAGATGTTGCTAACCTCTCCAGAGTGGTTAATCCAGCGGACGGCAGGACGGGGTTCGCTCCGTTCGGGTTCAGCGGCATCATGACGGGAGCGGGGACTGCTTTCTTCGCATTCGTGGGGTTGGAGTCAGTTGTGACTCTAGCGGAGGAGTCCGTGGACCCTAAACGGGATCTCCCTCGGGCTACCATGGGCTCCTTCCTGATAGTGCTGGTTCTGTACGTGGTAACAGCTTTCTCCATCGCTTTCATTGAACCGTGGTATGAGGTCGGGGGAAACACAGGTCTTATTGGATCTCTCAAACGTAAAGGTAAGCTTATCTCTATATAAGTAATAAGTATACACATTACACACTAGAAATACATCACCAACCTTGAACCTGCAGACTCAAATATTCCATTGGAAACACTGTCCCAATATGTGAATTACAGAGTAACCATGGTAACTGGACCTGTCTCCCTCAGGACTGACATGTGAATTACAGAGTAACCATGGTAACTGAACCTGTCTCCCCCAGGACTGACATGTGAATTACAGAGTAACCATGGTAACTGAACCTGTCTCCCCCAGGACTGACATGTGAATTACAGAGTAACCATGGTAACTGAACCTGTCTCCCCCAGGACTGACATGTGAATTACAGAGTAACCATGGTAACTGAACCTGTCTCCCCCAGGACTGACATGTGAATTACAGAGTAACCATGGTAACTGAACCTGTCTCCCCCAGGACTGACATGTGACTTACAGAGTAACCATGGTAACTGAACCTGTCTCCCTCAGAGTTACCATGGTAACTGAACCTGTCTCCCTCAGGACTGACATGTGACTTACAGAGTTACCATGGTAACTGAACCTGTCTCCCCCAGGACTGACACTACCACAGTACGTAGTAACAGCGGGGCTGATCTTCACAGTATTCTCGTGCGGACTCTGCACTGTAACTACAGTAGTCCGCGTAGTGTACTCCGTGGCGGAGGACGGCCTGCTGTTCCCCTTCCTGAACAGTGTCTACAAGAGGACTCAGGTGCCCATGTGGAACGTGGTGGTGTGCAGCGTGGTGGGGATACTGTCCAGTATCGTGTACGAGTTCGATACCCTCAGTCACATGGTGAGTTACTAGGTTAACTAGGTTACTAGGTTACTAGGTTACTAGGTAACTAGGTTACTAGGTTGGTGCCCATGTGGAACGTGGTGGTGTGCAGCGTGGTGGGGATACTGTCCAGTATCGTGTACGAGTTTGATACACTCAGTCATATGGTGAGTTACTAGGTTAACTAGGTTACTAGGTTACTAGGTTACTAGGTAACTAGGTTACTAGGTTGGTACCCATGTGGAATGTGGTGGTGTGCAGTGTGGTGGGGATACTGTCCAGTATCGTGTACGAGTTCGATACCCTCAGTCATATGGTGAGTTACTAGGTTACTAGGTTACTAGGTTACTAGGTTACTAGGTTACTAGGTTACTAGGTTGGTGCCCATGTGGAATGTGGTGGTGTGCAGCGTGGTGGGGATACTGTCCAGTATCGTGTACGAGTTCGATACCCTCAGTCATATGGTGAGTTGTTTACTTTAGGTTACTTTAGAGTTGTTTAAAAGATAATAAGATGATTTTATCTTAGTTGTAATCTTGATTTTTGACCATAGAATATTTCCGTCCATGATCCATATTTCTATAAACATGATGGATATTGATTATTGATTGCCACTATATTTTAAGATATTGAAACTAACCTAAACCTCTCCAGATCTCGGGTGGAACCCTGACAGTGTTTGTGATCACAGCGTTAGCAGTAATGATCCTCTCCTACGACCTAACGGACCCAGATATGGAAGAAACCGAGGAAACTCCACTGACCGCAGAGAAGACTCACGCCAGAAAACATCTCTTCATCATCTTCATGTGTGTCTTCCTGCTGGCCACCATCGTGTTGGCATTCCTCACTGCATTCCTCGAACAGTCCACTGCAGTGATTGTTTCAGAGGTGGTCCTTGCTATCATCATGATAGTCAGTCTCACTCTCATCAGATGCAAGATTCCTTTAAAGGCACAAGAGGAGGACGGGACACTGTCTTTTAAAAGTCCGGGTAAACCGTTTGTTCAGGGGTTCTCAGTCTTTGTAAACCTCCTGCTTCTCTTTCATCTGGAGGTGGTAGCCTTGAAACAGCTGGTTATCTACTGCATTGTCGGGCTCATAATCTACTTCGGGTACGGGATCTTCTTCTCCAAGATCACCGCGGAGAAGCAGAAACGGTTGAGTTTGAAGGAGATTAAGTTGGACGACACAGGCGAAAGTTCTGTCAGATAATCTTTGTTAATCATTTTAGTTTGATTATTTACACATATTGTACTGGGAATTTTCACGCGTAATTTGAGCAGAAAATTGATACTTTCTCTTAGGGCCAATAAATTTGGTTACCATAATTTTGGTTACCATAATGTTAGTAACAAATTTCGCAAATTGTTAGTCTACAACAACTTTAGTCAAATTTTTCGACTTTTCGAGACCATTTTCCATTCCATTTACCTTAAGAACGACAAATTTAGTCTACTTTTGAGGATTCTCCTTTTTCTGCGGGATGAACAGAAATAGGGGCTTGTGTGGAATGAATAAAGATCTATCCATATTTATGTACATAATTTGAGTTGTTATTAATTGATTTTTGTTTCACTAATGAAGATAGTTTTATTTCACAAGATGTGAGAGAATATACAGATCTCAATTTCTATAAGGGAGATCCAAGAAGACAGAATTAGGAGATTTATGGATCATGTATCACTTTATGTATTATATTAGACTAGCAGGAACTCGTCTAACCCTAAAGGATCGTTTTCAGAACCATACCGTAGAAAGTTACGATGAAGGTTGAAATGTTTGAAGAAACGTATAGTAAGGGGAAAAGTGGCATTCCGTTGGATTTGAATGTTCACAAGGATTTCTCAACGGAATATGGTAGTTAGGACCCCTACGAACATAATTAGACTTGTTGCCAATTTTGTATCTCAACAGAAACACCACTTTTACCACTTTTTACCACCTTTGTACCACCTTTCTGGTTTGCCAAATATCTTTAGTTGTGAACGTCGTAGAAGGCTGCAAATTAACCTAGAATGTTTATCTTATCAAGGAGTAAAACTTTTGTATGAAAAATTGTTACATTGGACAATCAGCTAATTGGATAATTACCAATTAGTTAATCACCAAAAAAAGTGAAAATTTTTTATTGGCTCAAAATGATTGAAATCGTTTGAAACACGGAGAAATGTAGTTTTTAGAAAAACTTCAAAAATTTTTCACTTACAATTTTTTTTCGAGACTTGGAAAAAAGTTTGAAAATTTGAAAATATATTATTCCGCCAAAAGTGATCGAATTGCATGAAACGTGGATAAAAATGCTTTGCAGAAAAACTTCGAAGATTTTTAGATTGGGGAATACTAAAATCATCAATATTTGAAGTTGGAGTTCAGTAAATCTCGACATATTTTATTAATTAGGAATGGCTTAGCGGAAAGGGCTGAACCTGAAAAAGGTTAACCACACAATATTAGAGTTTCATAACTAATTACAATACAGCTTTATCAAATTCCAAATAAAGAAACAGCACAAAAGGACCATTTAAGATCGAACCGATTTTACCTGCTGTACTATCATTTTATTGATTTCAATGATCAAAACCTCTGTACCGTCAATCTTGCCAATCTATACCGGGTATCTGAATGTACCGGACCTCTTATTTACTTCTATAATTAGACACAGTTGTGCAAGAAATGCGATTTCTCACAGGGGTTTCTTTTAACTGTGCACTTTTTGTCACTCTCGCAAGAGGCCCGGTATTATAGGGGGGGTATAGGAAGCGAGTGTAAATCTACCTTTCATCATCCACTGTGGCTTTTTTGCCTTGTGAATGCGCATGCCGCTTCGTTTGCTATGCCAGAATCCAGATACCTCAAATAACCCTCATATCATATTGCCAGGGTCGGGATAGAGCTGGAGATAGCATCGAGAGGTTGCTAGAAATAGCTAGATTTAGAGTAAACTGGTGGTAGCTAGGTGGTGCTAGCATGGATGTAGCAGAACGTAGCTACACGGGGTTTCATTGGAGTTGGTTATTTTAATGGCCAAAGAGTGCCGGAACTAAAGTTACTTAAGATTGCAGTTGAGGGGCAGTGTAAACCACGGTGTGGTCAGGGACACAGAGCTACAGTGCAGGAGTACTGCAAAAGAACAGTGCAAGTGATACAGTCTGCAACAGTAAAACGCCGAAGAAGCTAGACTTAGAGTGAACTGATGGAAGCTGGGTGGTGCTAAAATGGAGGTAGCAGAACGTACTACATGATGAAGAAGAGGGCTAAAGAGACTCACTTTGATCAATAAATCCGGTACGGCAAGGTCTGTAGCCTTGATAAGAAGATACCATGAAGTAATTCATGCGGAAAAGTCGATTTATATAAAGGGTTTCGTTGTATCTAAAAAGGGTGGGTCAGTCTCTCTGTTTTCATCAGATTCTGATGAAAGGCTGTTAAGCTCAGGACGGTGATCTTAATAGGTCGGATAGCTGTACCTGGTTGCTTCCAGCCCACCCTTGTCGCTTGAAAATAAGTTCTCACCCCACCTCTTCCAAAAAATGCAGTTACTAGAGCAGGAAACTCTTCTTCCTCCTCTTCTTTCAACACAAACACAATCAGGTTCCAGCTCCTCTCCTCCTCTGCAGCCGCAATCTAATCTCCTTCTTCGGCGTTTTACTGTTGCAGACTGTATCACTTGCACTGTTCTTTTGCAGTACTCCTGCACTGTAGCTCTGTATCCCTGATTACACCGTGGTTTACACTGCCCCAGGAGTGCCCCTCAACTGCAATCTTAAGTAACTTTAGTTCCGGCACTCTTTGGCCATTAAAATAACCAACTCCAATGAAACCCCGTGTAGCTACGTTCTGCTACATCCATGCTAGCACCACCTAGCTACCACCAGTTTACTCTAAATCTAGCTATTTCTAGCAACCTCTCGATGCTATCTCCAGCTCTATCCCGACCCTGGCAATGAGATATGAGGGTTATTTGAGGTATCTGGATTCTGGCATAGCAAACGAAGCGGCATGCGCATTCACAAGGCAAAAAAGCCACAGTGGATGATGAAAGGTAGATTTACACTCGCTTCCTATACCCCCCCTATAATACCGGGCCTCTTGCGAGAGTGACAAAAAGTGCACAGTTAAAAGAAACCCCTGTGAGAAATCGCATTTCTTGCACAACTGTGTCTAATTATAGAAGTAAATAAGAGGTCCGGTACATTCAGATACCCGGTATAGATTGGCAAGATTGACGGTACAGAGGTTTTGATCATTGAAATCAATAAAATGATAGTACAGCAGGTAAAATCGGTTCGATCTTAAATGGTCCTTTTGTGCTGTTTCTTTATTTGGAATTTGATAAAGCTGTATTGTAATTAGTTATGAAACTCTAATATTGTGTGGTTAACCTTTTTCAGGTTCAGCCCTTTCCGCTAAGCCATTCCTAATTAATAAAATATGTCGAGATTTACTGAACTCCAACTTCAAATATTGATGATTTTAGTATTCCCCAATCTAAAAATCTTCGAAGTTTTTCTGCAAAGCATTTTTATCCACGTTTCATGCAATTCGATCACTTTTGGCGGAATAATATATTTTCAAATTTTCAAACTTTTTTCCAAGTCTCGAAAAAAAATTGTAAGTGAAAAATTTTTGAAGTTTTTCTAAAAACTACATTTCTCCGTGTTTCAAACGATTTCAATCATTTTGAGCCAATAAAAAATTTTCACTTTTTTTGGTGATTAACTAATTGGTAATTATCCAATTAGCTGATTGTCCAATGTAACAATTTTTCATACAAAAGTTTTACTCCTTGATAAGATAAACATTCTAGGTTAATTTGCAGCCTTCTACGACGTTCACAACTAAAGATATTTGGCAAACCAGAAAGGTGGTACAAAGGTGGTAAAAAGTGGTAAAAGTGGTGTTTCTGTTGAGATACAAAATTGGCAACAAGTCTAATTATGTTCGTAGGGGTCCTAACTACCATATTCCGTTGAGAAATCCTTGTGAACATTCAAATCCAACGGAACCCTTAAATCGACCACTTTTCCCCTTACTAGTATATCGATGATATGATCATAGATCTGTGCATTCCTCAGCCATTTTGATTAACTGTACACTTCTGCGGATTGAATATATTTGATATTATTATTTAATTACCGAACAAATGTTCTCGAGAGGAGTTTGCATGATTCTGCAATATCAATATTTGTTGCCGTAGCTTGTATTAAATTTGGAAATTCCTAATTTGAGCAACATCCCTCAAAACACACCAAGAAACCAAATACCATTATATTTATTATAATAATACCATTATATTTATTATAAAAATACCATTAAATTTATAATAATAATACTATTATATTTATTATAATACTATTATATTTAAGATAATTATACCATTATATTTATTATAATAATTCCATTATATTTAGCACGAACCCGTCCAACCCTAAAATGATGTCAAAACTCAAGAAACTAAAATAATTATTGCCTATTTAATTCGCGTTTTTGACACCACTTGGGGGTCCAAATTTTGGGCACTAAAATTCTTATTCCTTGGCCAATTTTTTATTTTAAGTTGTATATCTTTTACGGTTTTTGCGGAAAGTCGTGTTAAAGTTGATGCCGTGGTGTCAGTAAAATGGTATGGATATATATATAATACAAATTGAAACGAACGGTTCAAGAGTCAGACAAATGTTTCAATCATGATACCAAACCATGATATCATCAGTGACAACTGTATCTAGCTCTCAGCTTGCCGATTGAGCACTGTCAGCAGACGACGCCACCCACAATTTATATACATAAATAAATAAAATATATATATATATAATTATATATACCTACATATAATGTATATCGTCTCGCTTTATATACGATATATTAAGATATATATATTGTATATATATATATATATATACACTAGTATATATATAATAATAATAATAACCGAAAACTTGCTCTCTACGGAAGTTCACCTCAATAAATATTTATTGCATTTATTTTGTAATACTGTTATAATTCGGACCCCGCTCCGTTAGAGTCCCGAACTAGAGTCCCGGACTAGAGTCCCGGATTAAAGTCCCGGACTAGAGTCCCGGACTAGAGTCCCGAACTAGAGTCCCGGACTAGAGTCCCGGACTAGAGTCCCGGACTAGAGTCCCGGACTAGATTCCCGGACTAGAGTCCCGGACTAGATTCCCGGACTAGATTCCCGGACTAGAGTCCCGGACTAAAGTCCCGGACTTGAGTCCCGAACAAGAGTCTCGGATTAAAGTCCCGGACTTGATTCCCGGACTAGAGTCTCGGACTAGAGTCCCGGACTAGAGTCCCGGACTAGAGTCCCGGACCAGAGTCCCGGATCAGAGTCCCGGACCAGAGTCCCGGACCAGAGTCCCGGATTAGAGTCCCGGATTAAAGTCCGGACCACGCCCCGTTTTAACGAACTTACCTAGCCACTTGATGAGGTGCTCCTTGACCTGGTCGTGAAGCTTGTTGATGAATGTGGGGAGCAGCCAGAGAGTTGCGTTCTTACACCCTCCGCGTGCTATCTGTGGGGAACCAGGTTAGAGGTCACGTGACACTTACTACTACATTTTTGTCTACAGACCAGTAATTTCGATATTCAGAAGTAAAGTTATGACCCGTCGAAAAATATTGATTTCATCATAAAATACACATAAAATTTCAAACACGCCAATAATTCTGACACTCTGCTGTACTACTACTACTACTACTACTATTAACATATTCATTTCTTTAGCTGATGGTATTCAGAGGGCATTAATGTATTAATGTAGTGTACTATGAGTGTGAGCTGGTCCCAAGCCCAGACGCCATCATTCCATGTAACTTTTCATCGCAATAACCCTAGTCATTGACTACTGATTACTATTATTAGTTATTGGGTTACTAGGTTAATAGAGTTGCTGGGTTACTAGGTTACTAGGTTACCAGGCAACTAGATTAAAATTATTATTGTTCCCTTAAACCCTACCTCGGTGAGGAGATGTCCCAGAGTACAGACGACAGCGTCAGTGATGAGTTTGAGGGTGGCCGCCTCCTCCTCCTCCCCCTCGTTATTCTCCTTACTCCTTACTCTTATCAGCCTTACTTTCAGGTGAGCCGACCTCATGGTCCACATGTCCATATTCTGAGGGGTACAACAGGTTACACATGTCCATATTCTGAGGGGTACAACAGGTTACACATGTCCATATTCTGAGGGGTACAACAGGTTACACATTGTCCATATTCTGAGGGGTACAACAGGTTACACATGTCCATATTCTGAGGGGTACAACAGGTTACACATTGTCCATATTCTGAGGGGTACAACAGGTTACACATGTCCATATTCTGAGGGGTACAACAGGTTACACATTGTCCATATTCTGAGGGGTACAACAGGTTACACATTGTCCATATTCTGAGGGGTACAACAGGTTACACATGTCCATATTCTGAGGGGTACAACAGGTTAAACATGTCCATATTCTGAGGGGTACAACAGGTTACACATGTCCATATTCTGAGGGGTACAACAGGTTACACATATCCATATTCTGAGGGGTACAACAGGTTACACATGGTCCATATTCTGAGGGGTACAACAGGTTACACATGTCCATATTCTGAGGGGTACAACAGGTTACACATGTCCATATTCTGAGGGGTACAACAGGTTACACATTGTCCATATTCTGAGGGGTACAACAGGTTACACATTGTCCATATTCTGAAAGGTACAACAGGTTACACATGTCCATATTCTGAGGGATACAACAGGTTACACATGTCCATATTCTGAGGGGTACAACAGGTTACACATGTCCATATTCTGAGGGGTACAACAGGTTACACATGTCCATATTCTGAGGGGTACAACAGGTTACACATGTCCATATTCTGAGGGGTACAACAGGTTACACATGTCCATATTCTGAGGGGTACAACAGGTTACACATGTCCATATTCTGAGGGGTACAACAGGTTACACATGTCCATACTCCATATTCTGAGGGGTACAACAGGTTACACATGTCCATATTCTGAGGGGTACAACAGGTTACACATGTCCATATTCTGAGGGGTACAACAGGTTACACATGTCCATATTCTGAGGGGTACAACAGGTTACACATGTCCATATTCTGAGGGGTACAACAGGTTACACATGTCCATATTCTGAGGGGTACAACAGGTTACACATGTCCATATTCTGAGGGGTACAACAAGTTACACATGTCCATATTCTGAGGGGTACAACAGGTTACACATGTCCATATTCTGAGGGGTACAACAGGTTACACATTGTCCATATTCTGAGGGGTACAACAGGTTACACATTGTCCATATTCTGAGGGGTACAACAGGTTACACATGTCCATATTCTGAGGGGTACAACAGGTTACACATGTCCATATTCTGAGGGGTGCAACAGGTTACACATGTCCATATTCTGAGGGGTACAACAGGTTACACATGTCCATATTCTGAGGGGTACAACAGGTTACACATGTCCATATTCTGAGGGGTACAACAGGTTACACATGTCCATATTCTGAGGGGTACAACAGGTTACACATGTCCATATTCTGAGGGGTACAACAGGTTACACATGTCCATATTCTGAGGGGTACAACAGGTTACACATGTCCATATTCTGAGGGGTGCAACAGGTTACACATGTCCATATTCTGAGGGGTACAACAGGTTACACATGTCCATATTCTGAGGGGTACAACAGGTTACACATTGTCCATATTCTGAGGGGTACAACAGGTTACACATGTCCATATTCTGAGGGGTACAACAGGTTACACATGTCCATATTCTGAGGGGTACAACAGGTTACACATGTCCATATTCTGAGGGGTACAACAGGTTACACATGTCCATATTCTGAGGGGTACAACAGGTTACACATGTCCATATTCTGAGGGGTACAACAGGTTACACATGTCCATATTCTGAGGGGTACAACAGGTTACACATGTCCATATTCTGAGGGGTACAACAGGTTACACATGTCCATATTCTGAGGGGTACAACAGGTTACACATGTCCATATTCTGAGGGGTACAACAGGTTACACATGTCCATATTCTGAGGGGTACAACAGGTTACACATGTCCATATTCTGAGGGGTACAACAGGTTACACATTGTCCATATTCTGAGGGGTACAACAGGTTACACATTGTCCATATTCTGAGGGGTACAACAGGTTACACATGTCCATATTCTGAGGGGTACAACAGGTTACACATGTCCATATTCTGAGGGGTACAACAAGTTACACATGTCCATATTCTGAGGGGTACAACAGGTTACACATGTCCATATTCTGAGGGGTACAACAGGTTACACATGTCCATATTCTGAGGGGTACAACAGGTTACACATGTCCATATTCTGAGGGGTACAACAGGTTACACATGTCCATATTCTGAGGGGTACAACAGGTTACACATGTCCATATTCTGAGGGGTACAACAGGTTACACATGTCCATATTCTGAGGGGTACAACAGGTTACACATGTCCATATTCTGAGGGGTACAACAGGTTACACATGTCCATATTCTGAGGGGTACAACAGGTTACACATGTCCATATTCTGAGGGGTACAACAGGTTACACATTGTCCATATTCTGAGGGGTACAACAGGTTACACATGTCCATATTCTGAGGGGTACAACAGGTTACACATGTCCATATTCTGAGGGGTACAACAGGTTACACATGTCCATATTCTGAGGGGTACAACAGGTTACACATTGTCCATATTCTGAGGGGTACAACAGGTTACACATGTCCATATTCTGAGGGGTACAACAGGTTACACATTGTCCATATTCTGAGGGGTACAACAGGTTACACATGTCCATATTCTGAGGGGTACAACAGGTTACACATGTCCATATTCTGAGGGGTACAACAGGTTACACATGTCCATATTCTGAGGGGTACAACAGGTTGGGTGGGGGGTACAACAGGTGATTTTAACAGGATATTACCAAGCTTATGCTTGTTACGGGATATTACTACTTTACTTAGCTTAGTTGGCCGCACCTATATTATATAAGTATATTATACATTTATTAAAGATGATGTAGACTCAAATATCCTTGTAATTCACTACTATTAGTATGCTAGTCGACATTTTTCGAGCTCGTAACCACCGCGATAATTGACAAATTGAAATATTATGAGTTATCGAGAAACATATCGAATTATTGGCAATTTCGTGTGTTGCTAACGCTTCATAAGTTGTATATTAATAAGGCCGTTGCAAACATTTTGGTTGTCTTCTTTATATATATATAGACCCAGTAACCTTCTTGAATCTTGATGTAGAGGTCACAATATGACAAACCTAAAACAAGATATTATAAAGTATAAACCTTGATGATGATTGGGGATTACAAATGAGATGTTACTACTTCTTCATAGTAACTAGGTTACCAGGTTACTAGGTTACTGAGTTACTAGGTTACTAGGTTACTAAGTTTAAAGTATAAACCTTGATGATGTTTCCGATAAGCTCGGTAGGGTCAGTAGAAGGCATGTCAGTAGATTGGGGATTACAAATGAGATGTTACTACTTCTTCATAGTAACTAGGTTACTAGGTTACTGAGTTACTAGGTTACTGAGTTACTAGGTTACTAGGTTACTAAGTTTAAAGTATAAACCTTGATGATGTTTCCGATAAGCTCGGTAGGGTCAGTAGAAGGCATGTCAGTAGATTGAGGATTACAGATGAGATGTTACTACTTCTTCATAGTAACTAGGTTACTAGGTTACTAGGTTACTGAGTTACTAGGTTACTAGGTTACTAAGTTTAAAGTATAAACCTTGATGATGTTTCCGATAAGCTCGGTAGGGTCAGTAGAAGGCATGTCAGTAGATTGGGGATTACAAATGAGATGTTACTACTTCTTCATAGTTACTAGGTTACTAGGTTACTGAGTTACTAGGTTACTAGGTTACTAAGTTTAAAGTATAAACCTTGATGATGTTTCCGATAAGCTCGGTAGGGTCAGTAGAAGGCATGTCAGTAGATTGGGGATTACAAATGAGATGTTACTACTTCTTCATAGTAACTAGGTTACTAGGTTACTAGGTTACTGAGTTACTAGGTTACTAGGTTACTAAGTTTAAAGTATAAACCTTGATGATGTTTCCGATAAGCTCGGTAGGGTCAGTAGAAGGCATGTCAGTAGATTGGGGATTACAAATGAGATGTTACTACTTCTTCATAGTTACTAGGTTACTAGGTTACTAGGTTACTAGGTTACTAGGTTACTAGGTTACTAAGTTTAAAGTATAAACCTTGATGATGTTTCCGATAAGTTCGGTAGGGTCAGTAGAAGGCATGTCAGTAGATTGGGGATTACAAATGAGATGTTACTACTTCTTCATAGTAACTAGGTTACTAGGTTACTAGGTTACTGAGTTACTAGGTTACTAGGTTACTAAGTTTAAAGTATAAACCTTGATGATGTTGCCGATAAGCTCGGTAGGGTCAGTAGAAGGCATGTCAGTAGATTGGGGATTACAGATGAGATGTTACTACTTCTTCATAGTAACTAGGTTACTAGGTTACTAGGTTACTAGGTTACTGAGTTACTAGGTTACTAAGTTTAAAGTATAAACCTTGATGATGTTTCCGATAAGCTCGGTAGGGTCAGTAGAAGGCATGTCAGTAGATTGGGGATTACAAATGAGATGTTACTACTTCTTCATAGTAACTAGGTTACTAGGTTACTAGGTTACTAGGTTACTGAGTTACTAGGTTACTAAGTTTAAAGTATAAACCTTGATGATGTTGCCGATAAGTTCGGTAGGGTCAGTAGAAGGCATGTCAGTAGATTGGGGATTACAAATGAGATGTTACTACTTCTTCATAGTAACTAGGTTACTAGGTTACTAGGTTACTGAGTTACTAGGTTACTAAGTTTAAAGTACAAACCTTGATGATGTTTCCGATAAGCTCGGTAGGGTCAGTAGAAGGCATGTCAGTAGATTGGGGATTACAGATGAGATGTTACTACTTCTTCATAGTTACCAGGTTACTAGGTTACTAGGTTACTGAGTTACTAGGTTACTAGGTTACTAAGTTTAAAGTATAAACCTTGATGATGTTTCCGATAAGCTCGGTAGGGTCAGTTGAAGGCATGTCAGTAGATTGAGGATTACAAATGAGATGTTACTACTTCTTCATAGTAACTAGGTTACTAGGTTACTAGGTTACTGAGTTACTAGGTTACTAAGTTTAAAGTATAAACCTTGATGATGTTTCCGATAAGTTCGGTAGGGTCAGTAGAAGGCATGTCAGTAGATTGGGGATTACAAATGAGATGTTACTACTTCTTCATAGTTACTAGGTTACTAGGTTACTAGGTTACTGAGTTACTAGGTTACTAGGTTACTAAGTTTAAAGTATAAACCTTGATGATGTTGCCGATAAGTTCGGTAGGGTCAGTAGAAGGCATGTCAGTAGATTGGGGATTACAAATGAGATGTTACTACTTCTTCATAGTTACTAGGTTACTAGGTTACTAGGTTACTGAGTTACTAGGTTACTAGGTTACTAAGTTTAAAGTATAAACCTTGATGATGTTTCCGATAAGTTCGGTAGGGTCAGTAGAAGGCATGTCAGTAGATTGGGGATTACAGATGAGATGTTACTACTTCTTCATAGTAACTAGGTTACTAGGTTACTAGGTTACTGAGTTACTATGTTACTAGGTTACTAAGTTTAAAGTATAAACCTTGATGATGTTTCCGACAAGTTCGGTAGGGTCAGTAGAAGGCATGTCAGTAGATTGAGGATTACAAATGAGATGGAGCAGGAGCTGGGCGTTGTGGGGTGTAATCTCCTTATCTGCCAGGTAGTTGATAGACACTAACTTCTCCGGGGTGGACAGACACAGTTCCGGCACCCAGGTCTGGGAACAGATCCTCTTTAACACTGCCATCGGCTTCAGGTGCTCTGAAACAAGCGTTATTTGAGGCGTTCTGAGGGGAAACAAGCGTTACATTGGGGGTTCCGAGGGGAAACAAGGGTTATTTCAGGTGCTCTGAGGGGAAACAAGCGTTACTTTGGGGGGTTCTGAGGGGAAACAAGCGTTACATTGGGGGTTCTGAGGGGAAACAAGGGTTATTTCAGGTGCTCTGAGGGGAAACAAGCGTTACTTTGGGGGGGGGGGGGGGGGGGGGGGGGGTGGGGGAGCGTCTCTGTCATTGACTGCTATTTGAAGAGTTTGAGGAAGCGTATGACTAACTGTGTGAGGGCGGTATTTCCTGGTCCACAGTGCTGTTTCTGATCAGTAGTTTCAGCATGGTAGCGAACCGGAGCGGCTTCAGAGCCCTCCTGTCCGCATCAAGGTGCCGGAATGCGGAGTGGGAGATGATTGAGTCGTCCACGTGCTCCGTCTCCGGGTACTCGATCTGAAAATGTAGTTATCTAGTGGTAACCATGACAACACTAATATGGTATCTAGTGAATTTGGAATTGGTGATAGTCGGATTGTAAAGATTTGTTTAGACTTAAACATAAATTTGATGGACACTTTTTTCCTGATTTTTTGGCGAAATCTGAGCCGGTTTTGGAGCATGATGGTAAATTAATGGTTATAATTACTATTTACTATTAAATAGGGTCGCAGAACTTTAATAAGTGTATTATATAAAATAACGAGTATGTGATATTTACTTATTCGTAAATAACAGGTATTTTCTCAGTACTAATTGTGACGGGCGTTCTTCTTGATAATAACTTATTCAAAGTACTTAGAGTATATTTGGCTGGGATCCAGAAAACAGCATTATAAAGCACGTCATTCTATCACTCCGCTCGCGCTGTAGTCTTTTTGTAAGTACCATTCCAAATGTTATCTGTAGCAGCGTGAAATTGTTTTTAGCCAGTGATATTGTTACCATAGTAACAGTGGCGATCTTTACGAGCCCAAAGTAGATATGGGATTTATTTCTTTGGGGAGAAGATTCCACAACTGTGCCGCTTTCACTCCAAATGAGTTATCATAGTGTGTAGCCACTAGCTACAGAGCAATTCTAGCTCACTCCAGATGAGCTATCATGGTGTGTAGCCACTAACCACAGAACAATTCTAGCTTTCACTCCAAATGAGTTATCATAGTGTGTACTGTGTAGCCACTAGCTACAGAGCAATTCTAGCTCAATTCTAGCCCCACCATGGTTTTGAAGACGGTAAGCATTAGAAATGGTGATACTGATCTGTCCTTGAAGACGCTTAGAACTCACGATAGCATAGTGACTGGAGGCCGGAGGGGGTTGATAGTCCTCCAGCATAACAAACCTATGTTTCATTTGTCAATTTTCTAAGAACTCCTATATGCTTCGGCACACTTACTTCACAGTACCTAGTAGATCAACTATCAATTAACTATATATTACAGTAAAATGCTGCTTTACTTGTGCCTGCTCTAACCAGTCCAACTCCAAGCATTTTCCCAGCCTAAACATTCTTTGTCGTTTTTCAATCAGGTTCCCTCGTTGTATAATTAAGTTTCCATGTTGCATATTTCTGTATTATTTGATGAAAGTTTCAAATCAAAATTAAGATCGGGACAATTTACTATCATTTAAACGGAAAACTAAACCTTAATTTTCTGTGTAATCAGTATTTAGTCAGTAGAATATTGCATGAAGTCAGCAGTAACTCGTAATCTAGATGCCACAGAGTAGAACAACTAAATTATCATTATTATTATATATTATAATATAATATAATATCATATCATTATTATTCTTTATTGACCCAGTTGCCTTGTGATGCCTGTTTGGGCAGACACGATAAGGTTGTTTTACATCAGAGGCTTTTTATGACAAAAATGGTATTTTTGCAAAAAGTATCTTAAACAATAATCTCAGAGTGTGTGTCTGGCTGTGTGTGTGCGCGTGTAATTTCCGAGCGGCTTAATCAAGAAAACGGTAAGAGTTACGGGGCTGGTTTTTTCGGTATATACCGAGAAAACTCTGACAAAGCCAAATAATAAAGGTTTTTTAAATCGGTCGGTGGTAAGTGGTTTAATTGATCATTTTGTGTCCCAAATGTGATACTAAAGTGTGTATGTGTGTGTGTGTCATGTGTACTCTCCCACTCTCGCTCTCTCTCCCCTCATAACATATTTTCTATATAATTGGGATAATTTGGCAGGGGATCTCAAGAATCAAGATTGCCTATCAAGTATTACTATTTGATATGTGAGGGGCATTCAGAATTAAATTGTGGTATGTTTGGAATGAGCGAGTTCATACTTTCGCGCCGTTTTAACTACGAAAATGTAATGCGTATTTTCGAATATAATTGGCGGGTTTATACTTTTGCATTTCAACTGCGATAGTGAAAACCCGGCCGTAGGCACGGGTTACACTATTTAGCTTATACAACATTTTAAACAAATCCATTGTTATTTGTTAATAACTGTGGATATGGAGTCAAAATTCCAGATACATCAGATACAGGTCTGATATGGTCATTAATGTGCGAGAAGGTGTGTGGGGGAAGTGTGATATGATGTTGAAAGTATAGGAAGGTAGATTTAAAAAATAATAATAATATGGGGAGCAAAGAGATTAGGCTAGACTGTTGTTTCACTATCCAAAGTGAAAATTGTCCGATGTGTGGTATTGTGTTTGATATAATTAGTATATAATTGATATATATAATTAGTATATAATTGATATAATTAGTTTGCAAGGTTCTGACATATCTCTTATTGTTGTCACCTCTCTCCTGATTATGCAGCATCCAAATTTTATTTGTGGACTTTTTACTATTTTTCTTTGCTATTTGGTCTTGAATATCAATAGAAAAAGTGTTGTTGTTGTTGAATATCAGCTTCCAGATAAGTCCGTAAATCCGTTAACTTGTGCGAAACGATTAAATTAATGTCAGTGATATCATTAGTCCGAGCATTTTCCCAGCCTAAACATTATTCGTCGCCATTGATTTCAATCAGGTTCCCTTGTTGTATAATTGTGCATTATTTGATGAAAGTTTCAAATCAAATTACCTGAGTGAAGGAAAAAATAATAATAATTACCTGAGTAAAGAGCGCTATCATGAGGTAAGTACCTGAGTAAAGAGCGCTATCATGAGGTAAGTACCTGAGTAAAGAGCGCTATCATGAGGTAAGTACCTGAGTAAAGAGCGCTATCATGAGGTAAGTACCTGAGTAAAGAGCGCTATCATGAGGTAAGTACCTGAGTAAAGAGCGCTATCATGAGGTAAGTACCTGAGTAAAGAGCGCTATCATGAGGTAAGTACCTGAGTAAAGAGCGCTATCATGAGGTAAGTACCTGAGTAAAGAGCGCTATCATGAGGTAAGTACCTGAGTAAAGAGCGCTATCATGAGGTAAGTACCTGAGTAAAGAGCGCTATCATGAGGTAAGTACCTGAGTAAAGAGCGCTATCATGAGGTAAGTACCTGAGTAAAGAGCGCTATCATGAGGTAAGTACCTGAGTAAAGAGCGCTATCATGAGTTAAGTACCTGAGTAAAGAGCGCTATCATGAGGTAAGTACCTGAGTAAAGAGCGCTATCATGAAGTAAGTACCTGAGTAAAGAGCGCTATCATGAGGTGAGTACCTGAGTAAAGAGCGCTATCATGAGGTAAGTACCTGAGTAAAGAGCGCTATCATGAGGTAAGTACCTGAGTAAAGAGCGCTATCATGAGGTAAGTACCTGAGTAAAGAGCGCTATCATGAGGTAAGTACCTGAGTAAAGAGCGCTATCATGAGGTAAGTACCTGAGTAAAGAGCGCTATCATGAGGTAAGTACCTGAGTAAAGAGCGCTATCATGAGGTAAGTACCTGAGTAAAGAGCGCTATCATGAGGTAAGTACCTGAGTAAAGAGCGCTATCATGAGGTAAGCCACGTGACAGTTGGTGGGCCACTTGTACTCGGAGTACTTGTAGAGGTAAGGCAGGATGACGTAGTAGATCAGCCACCAGAGACTGAAACACTGGTATCTGAGCAGCTGGATCACGAACAGAGACAACATTCTCCACCAGTCCGTCCCGTCCGGCAGTTCCCTGAAAATATATGCATCAGTTTATTGTAAAGTTGTAAGGACGGTAAAAATAGGTAGAGGGAGGAAGGGTGGGAAGGGGGAGGGAGGGGAGGAAGGGTAGGCAGCGGGAGGGAGGGGGAGGAAGGGTAGGCAGCGTGAGGGATCATTTTGCACCACTAATAATTTCCCTTGACGTAGGTCGCTCAAAGTAATGAGACAATCTTGTAATTAAGCAGTCCAAATTTTGAGGAATCTTTTGGCATTCTATAAGGACAACCGGGTTAGTTTCTACAGTTGCCCTTAGCAACACATAGCAACACATAGCAACACACTCTATAGCAACACTTATCAACACACTATCCTGACCCGTGCGAGGAGGCTAAGTTTCTGCTATCTGAGATTAAACTTGATAATTAACTTGACAATTGTTCACTAAGCCACGGGGAGGTTCAATGCGAAGCACGGTATATACCAACTGTTAAACTTGCTGTTAAACTTGCATTTACGGTTACAGTTTTGTTGGTTCATAACAAAATATCAGCTAATTAAGGGCCCCTCGAAATTAGTTCGAAACTCATCACTTGAAAATGTTGATGAGACATTCGCCGCCGAATGAGTCGTAAACTTAATTAATAGTGGCTTCCAATATCGAATCTCTTTTAGTGTTTCAATTTGACGATATATAATGGGCACTAGCGGTCATGCGGTTAATGGTATTAACTTGACAATTGTTCATTTAGCCAGACTCTGTTGATTGCGAAGCTCAGTAAATATTATTGTTAACTGTTTAACTTGCAGTTAAACTTGCATTCACGGTCACAGTTCTTTCCAAGAGTTCATTTTTATCTCCGAAAATCGTAGGGTTTTTAATCAAGTTGTGGCACAGCATTCAACAACTCTAGTTCAGAACAGTGTTTGCTAAAAGACCATTAAAATCTGACTATATCGCTCTTGTGCCCCCCCCCCCTTCCCGCTCTTGTAACTACATTTAAAAGCTTGTGATTTACCAGAGGAGTGTGCCCCCCCCCCGCTCTTGTAACTACATTTAAAAGCTTTACCAGAGATTTAGCTTGTGATTTAGAGGTGTGGAAGTGCTGCTCATACGTTAAATTTCGCGTTCATTGACTGCTCTTTAGGTCTCCGGCTCTGTAAGATACAACTCATCAACCTCATAGCCACCCCCTTCACTGCAACAACTCATCAACCTTATAGCCACCCCCTTCAATGCAACAACTCATCAACCTCATAGCCACCCCCTTCACTGCAACAACTCATCAACCTCATAGCCACCCCCTTCACTACAACAACTCATCAACCTCATAGCCACCCCCTTCACTGCAACAACTCATCAACCTCATAGCCACCCCCTTCACTGCAACAATCCATCAACCTTATAGCCACCCCCTTCACTGCAACAACTCATCAACCTCATAGCCACCCCCTTCACTGCAACAACTCATCAACCTCATAGCCACCCCCTTCACTGCAACAACTCATCAACCTCATAGCCACCCCCTTCAATGCAACAACTCATCAACCTCATAGCCACCCCCTTCAATGCAACAACTCATCAACCTTATAGCCACCTCCTTCACTGCAACAACTCATCAACCTTATAATCACTCCCTTCACTGCAACAACTCATCAACCTCATAGCCACCCCCTTCACTGCAACAACTCATCAACCTCATAGCCACCCCCTTCACTGCAACAACTCATCAACCTCATAGCCACCCCCTTCACTGCAACAACTCATCAACCTTATAGCCACCTCCTTCACTGCAACAACTCATCAACCTCATAGCCACCCCCTTCACTGCAACAACTCATCAACCTCATAGCCACCCCCTTCACTGCAACACCTCATCAACCTCATAGCCACCCCCTTCACTGCAACAACTCATCAACCTCATAGCCACCTCCTTCACTGCAACAACTCATCAACCTCATAGCCACCCCCTTCACTGCAACACCTCATCAACCTCATAGCCACCTCCTTCACTGCAACAACTCATCAACCTCATAGCCACCCCCTTCACTGCAACAACTCATCAACCTTATAGCCACCTCCTTCACTGCAACAACTCATCAACCTTATAGCCACCCCCTTCACTGCAACAACTCATCAACCTTATAGCCACCCCCTTCACTGCAACAACTCATCAACCTCATAGCCACCTCCTTCACTGCGACTCATCAACCTCATAGCCACCCTCTTCACTGCAACAACTCATCAACCTCATAGCCACCCCCTTCACTGCAACAACTCATCAACCTCATAGCCACCTCCTTCACTGCAACAACTCATCAACCTTATAGCCACCCCCTTCACTGCAACAACTCATCAACCTCATAGCCACCCCCTTCACTGCAACAACTCATCAACCTTATAGCCACCCCCTTCACTGCAACAACTCATCAACCTCATAGCCACCCCCTTCACTGCAACAACTCATCAACCTCATAGCCACCTCCTTCACTGCAACAACTCATCAACCTCATAGCCACCCCCTTCACTGCAACAACTCATAAACCTCATAGCCACCCCCTTCACTGCAACAACTCATCAACCTTATAGCCACCTCCTTCACTGCAACAACTCATCAACCTTATAGCCACCCCCTTCACTGCAACAACTCATCAACCTCATAGCCACCCCCTTCACTGCAACAACTCATCAACCTCATAGCCACCCCCTTCACTGCAACACCTCATCAACCTCATAGCCACCTCCTTCACTACAACAACTCATCAACCTTATAGCCACCCCCTTCACTGCAACAACTCATCAACCTCATAGCCACCTCCTTCACTGCAACAACTCATCAACCTCATAGCCACCTCCTTCACTACAACAACTCATCAACCTCATAGCCACCCCCTTCACTACAACACCTCATCAACCTCATAGCCACCCCCTTCACTGCAACACCTCATCAACCTCATAGCCACCTCCTTCACTGCAACAACTCATCAACCTCATAGCCACCCCCTTCACTGCAACAACTCATCAACCTCATAGCCACCTCATTCACTGCAACAACTCATCAACCTCATAGCCACCCCCTTCACTGCAACAACTCATCAACCTCATAGCCACCCCCTTCACTGCAACACCTCATCAACCTTATAGCCACCCCCTTCACTGCAACAACTCATCAACCTCATAGCCACCTCATTCACTGCAACAACTCATCAACCTCATAGCCACCTCCTTCACTGCAACAACTCATCAACCTCATAGCCACCTCCTTCACTGCAACAACTCATCAACCTCATAGCCACCCCCTTCACTGCAACAACTCATCAACCTTATAGCCACCCCCTTCACTGCAACAACTCATCAACCTCATAGCCACCCCCTTCACTGCAACAACTCATCAACCTCATAGCCACCCCCTTCACTGCAACAACTCATCAACCTCATAGCCACCTCATTCACTGCAACAACTCATCAACCTCATAGCCACCTCCTTCACTGCAACAACTCATCAACCTCATAGCCACCCCCTTCACTGCAACAACTCATCAACCTCATAGCCACCCCCTTCACTGCAACACCTCATCAACCTTATAGCCACCCCCTTCACTGCAACAACTCATCAACCTTATAGCCACCCCCTTCACTGCAACAACTCATCAACCTTATAGCCACCTCATTCACTGCAACACCTCATAAACCTCATAGCCACCTCCTTCACTGCAACAACTCATCAACCTCATAGCCACCTCCTTCACTGCAACAACTCATCAACCTCATAGCCACCCCCTTCACTGCAACAACTCATCAACCTTATAGCCACCCCCTTCACTGCAACAACTCATCAACCTCATAGCCACCCCCTTCACTGCAACAACTCATCAACCTCATAGCCACCCCCTTCACTGCAACAACTCATCAACCTCATAGCCACCTCATTCACTGCAACAACTCATCAACCTCATAGCCACCCCCTTCACTGCAACACCTCATCAACCTTATAGCCACCTCATTCACTGCAACAACTCATCAACCTCATAGCCACCCCCTTCACTGCAACAACTCATCAACCTCATAGCCACCTCATTCACTGCAACAACTCATCAACCTCATAGCCACCCCCTTCACTGCAACACCTCATCAACCTCATAGCCACCCCCTTCACTGCAACAACTCATCAACCTCATAGCCACCCCCTTCACTGCAACAACTCATCAACCTCATAGCCACCCCCTTCACTGCAACAACTCATCAACCTCATAGCCACCTCATTCACTCCAACAACTCATCAACCTCATAGCCACCCCCTTCACTGCAACAACTCATCAACCTCATAGCCACCCCCTTCACTGCAACAACTCATCAACCTTATAGCCACCCCCTTCACTGCAACAACTCATCAACCTCATAGCCACCCCCTTCACTGGATTTTGCTGGTTTACTAATTTATTGCGGGGACACATTATCAACCATATATATATATAGTCAGGAATGTGTTTTTGCTTGACGTTAAACTTTAAAGTATGACTTTATGTGCGAAATCGGGAAAAAAACTAGCTAAATAATGGAAAAATCAAATAAATGGAATGAAAAATGGTCTTGAAAAGTCGAAAATGAGACTAAAAATGTTGAAGACTAAAAATTTGCGAAATTTGTGACTAATACATATTATGGTACCACAATTTTTGTAACAAAATTTATTGGCCGGTTATATTATATTAAGGTACCGTATATCAATATATTGCTTCATAAGTTTTATACAAGTATGGTCATTACCAAAATTTTACACCTATTCGGAGATCTCTGTCAATTTTCTTGCCCAATTTATAAATTGGGCTAGAACGATATTCAGATATTTTAGGGTTTAATAATCCACAGAATTGCACATTAATTAAAACATCTAAACCTAACCAGTTGTTGACACATTTACTGGTTTAGGTTCTCAATATATCAACGACTGTTATCTGTTTGAAATCGCTTTCAGTCGTTTGAGTCTCAAGGTACTTTTTGGGGAACTTTTTTTTGGGGAACTTCAGAAAGTT